GCCCCACTTCACAGGCAGGTCTTTTGGTTTGTTTCTACTACGATTGAAAGCTTTGGATGGTCGATCGGCGCGATCTTGTCCTTTTATGTTACTACCAAGGTGGGATTGTATATCTCCAACAATATTGGGATGTTTCTCGTAGATAAAAGAGATGACCCAGCCCGATGTTTGAGACGTCGGGTTGTTCCTTCGACTGTTGTTAGTATTATTTCGGCCATGTAGATCTGATAGGGTTGCTCATGGTCTGAGTTTTTATGGTGACACCCCCCGTGTCACCGTCGATCATTAAGCACGCGGTATCTTGTATGGATCTGTTGAGTTCAAGTTTCACATCGAGCGCCAATGAGTCGGACATTTTTTCTTATGTAAGTTCACGTTGCTATTGCAAGGACAGAAATGAAGGGATCGTCTCTCGCAGCTGGAAGTGTTGCAGCTAGACAGGTAGTACTTTGCCAGAATCATGTGTCCTCTACTTGTCGTTCTCCGAGGCAAGTTTGTTTCGTATGTCAGATTGGTATCGAGCTCACTGATGCGCGTAACGCTGTCTACTCTAGAGCAACGTCATCGTTTGAGCAGCCAGCGGCGATCAGATGGTCGGAATTGAATTTCCCTCCATGTCTTAATTTGGTGCATTTTGATCTTACGGAATTACCGAGGAATGTGAGTGAAAGCGATGTTCTAAGAACTGCTTTGGGAGGTGTGTGACCCTTCAGGCCGCCGCAGCCCTACGACCCACCTTGTGGGCGTTCGTCGCTACTATCGCGTTATTGATTGTCAACTTCATCAACTCGATCATCATAGTGGCCGTCAAGGAGCCCCACGCTGATGGTGTAAATCGAATCACTGCTTCTATGTAGTGAATAGGAATACTACCAGGTTCGCATTCTGTACTCCTTCCTCAACCTCGTGCTCATATCCTCTATTGCATGCTACTCGGTGTATCAGGTAAAACTCTGTGATATGGTATTAATCGCGCCAGGTCTAATCGACACTATCGACCGTAGTAATGACTATCGATCGACGTTGTGACAGAATACATACGGAGATATGCAAGCCATACCGCCAATTAACTGCTGGAGTCATCCGTTATTATGCAATAACAGCGAACGATGGCCATTCACACTACGTGTCGATTATCTTCATATCACAAGCTCCTTCCCCGATCGCTGTGTAGTTTCTTTCACTTTAGGCCTATAAGGGTTTAGCATTGAGCTCAATTTTCCACATAGCGCGGTTTGCTACAATACATGGATGCCTTACGGTGGGTCTCTTATTCGTCTGCTTATTTTGTATGCAGTTTTAGGCTCTGTTGGGTTCAATGGTGCTGCTGCCTTGCTCGAGTTTCAACGGCTTCTTGATACCTGTACGCTACAACGACAATAAGATGTAGCCCGGCAGGCTCACCTGTGGACCTAATCTGTATCTTGCCTCAGAGGCACGTATTGGATCTTCGCAGTTGTATTCGAGAGCCTAGCTTGGCTGATGACTACGTGCATTTCGGCATATGGCATTCACAAGGTAGATACGAGCTCGCGTATGGGCCACAATATTCTCTTCAGGTGCGGACTTATCTTTGACGGGTGTAAATTGGATATGTTGCATGGTCGCTAATGCTCCATAATCGTTGGTAACTACTATGCTGTTATCTTGCGTTATTGAGATAGTGAAATGCATTGGAACGATGGGGTTTGACAGAGATCAGTTTGTAAAGTATTTGATAAGCAGTCCATAGGGATGCATTGGAGTCATCGGTCGCGTATAGGATATATCATCGATGATCCTGAGAGCATTCGCACTGGCCGTAAGACGCAACTTGAGAGAGATATTTGTGATGAAAATGCCATGGATGCGTGTGCTACTCGGGCAGTGAACTCACATTAGCATCACTATATATACATACAAATGACCCACCACTGAACGCAATAAAGGAGAACACTGAAAGTTTCAGTTCGAAACGATGACGAATGTGAATAACACAAAAATTCTCCCCACGGGAAGTATTCAGTGATGGGATCTACCACACCATGGTAAAACTCTTATAGCAAAAAGCTCGCCTCAAAAACTCCCTCCGTAATAGTTTTCTCCTCGGCTAAAATCTCCCCGCAAGCCAGGCGAGGACCCGAGCTTTCTTCGTCTCGAAAATCATCGGGGTAGGCGTGCACCATTGTTGAACGATGCAGGACCGAGAATGCTCCCTCTAGCTTGATTATCTTGCTAGTGAATGAGCCCTTAGCGACACCCGAGGCATCAGCGATAACATTACCGAGAGTCCCGAGGTGCCTTATGTGGCCATCGGGAGCCCCGTGTTGATAACGGTAGGGGTTGTAGGTTCCCCCCGCTGAGTTACATCCGTTGTATCGAAATTCGGCAGTGCGATGAATATGAATACCGTGACTAGAATGGGGATCGAGACCGGTGATCTCGTAAGTGATAGTGGTATTCGCTGGTCCATGCTGAGTGTAATAGAATATTCCGCGGGTTATCCTTGCGCCACGTCGTGGAGCTCCACTACCGCGGGGCTCCAGCACACTCTTGGCCTTGATGGGATACTTTGGTGGGGTCTCGGGGTCAACTGAGAGGTTGCGCTGAGTGATTTGTAGCGAGGCTTGGCTTACATGGGGAGATGTCTAGACACTGTAGTGGCTGTTTGTCCTGCGATGAACACTGCCCTGCCCGAACAGAGCAAATCTTGGCATCTCCATCGATGTTGGTCCTCTCAACGTAACTGATGATATCAAACTAAAGTAAGAAACGGACAATATTGACGTACAGATCTTCACAGGAATGCGGTGGTGGTAGTTCGTCCTGACAGCGAGAACCCACACGCCCACATCCGTTGATCGCCTGGCAAACGTTGTGGCATGCATTCTGAAGAGGAGATAATGTGGCGATTTCGAACACCCAATTCAGAGCTGCCCTACTTCACACGCTGAAGAGACCGTCAAGGCCCCGAGGATCGCCCATATGTACGCGACGTTGCTGAGAAACCTCATAGAAGAGAAAGCAGCCATATGAACTGAGTGGTGATTCTAGTACTCAGATTAGTTAACTAATCTGAGTCCCTCAGGATATCTGAGGGACCTTATTACAAGCGGTTAGATGATGTGTCAGAGGTGAAAACAGCAAGCAACAAAGACCAACTATAACCTGCTATACCTATAAGCTGAAGGTTAGGTAAAGCACTCAAGTACAATAACCGCATGAGATCCCGCTGCTTGCGTCACTTCAGCTGCGTGCACGCGTGCCAAGGTGGAAAAATTCGCGATTCGCATGTCAATAATCGTGGAAATTTCAATGTAGTTTTCTGCTGTGCTTCTCCTCTGTAGAGCATCAACGAGTCTGCTTGTGATCCTATTGTCGCAGGATAATCATGTGTCCTCGAACTCGGGGAGTCCTCGACGGGGTCACCAGCCCAAGTCTCATGCGCATGCGTGCTAAGATCTTACACGACAGGAAGCATCTGGTTCCTGGGAGGGAGCACCGACATTAATTACTTTCCTCATTCTAACAACGGCGAAGGTGCCTTGCTCACCACCGAACCTGACAGTGTTGTCCAATTCGAGGTTCCGGAAAAGTTGTCACTGCCAACTACTTCGTGAAGATTCACGCCCTGTCAACGTGACAGGAGCGCGGTTCGAGCTCGGGATCCTAGCAAGCTATTATAAGAGGGCATCTTTAAGTAACCTCTCAAGAATGACGAATCTTTAGGTTGGAACTCTCACCTCGCTCTGTCTCGAGTGCAAAATATTAATCCAGGGATCAGCGTTAACTTAACGTCGTTAACTAAAATCTTAATGTCATATCCTTGCCAAGTAAGACCACGACTGGAGCCATACTAGTACGTTACAGATAGCGGGTTGGCCAGAGACCAGCGGTATATATCCAAGAGCGGATATGATATGTCAAGGAATGGCAACCGTGGAGCAATGGGGAATCTAACGGTTATGTTGGCACGTGGACTCAAAGGCACAAGTTCAAACCCCAAATGAGGCACTTTTCTTGACATTTATCCATATGTTTACGCGTTTTGGAGTGGTTGCGTTGCTCTTTTCGCATTGAGACCAGCGTGAAACCGTCGGCCGTCGAGTTTCACTGTTATCTCAAGTGCATCCTTAAGAACGTGGTTAGGTGGAACGAGCTAACTTCTCTACTCCTCATGTTTGGAAATTCACGTTAGACCTCGAGGTTTCTTGACATGAGGTCAATTTGAGGGGCTTGATCAAACATGAATCTTCTCATCCCATTAGTGAAACGATCTTACGCTAGTTCTCTTTTTTATCTCTTCATGTTAAGTTAGGAGTGAAAGAACCTCACAGTAACCGTTCGGTGGAGCTACTTCACATATTTTTTTAGGTCTTGTACCTACCCACACCCCTTCCTTTTAATCTATAGTTAATCATGTCAATCAAGGATCCTATACGCAGGCCTACGGGGTCGCTATCAGAGCTTCCCCCTGAGGTTCTTGCTAGAATCGGAGGGTAACCCTATTCATTCTAGACATCAATTGCTGATAAGATCTCTCATATT